ATATCATGGACTAGGAATACGTTACTATGGATAATCACACCCTTCTACCCCAAACACCGACGTAAAAGACAAAAGACCTCCCGGGTATATTTGTATTCCGTCAACTCCGCAGCACCTCAAGAACCCTCAAGCTCACCCAGGGAATCCCCCAGACAAACGGCAAATCTGACACCTTGGTCGGACCGAGACCCGGGCCGTATCGTGCATGCACCGCCAGAGCTAAGCCGCACGTGTCGCTGCTCTCTCAGCCTCGCAATGGCAGTTCCGGTTGGGAAGGTGGGCGTTCACACGCGGCCTTATTTTCGGCATGTGCCTGTCATCATGACCGCCCACGCCGACCCGCGACACAGAACCTTGGAAAGCCAGAGTGAAGCGGTCGACGCGGTTGACGGTCGTCTCCGCCTATGAAGGCTAAACGAGCAAAGAAGAGGCAGATTATCGGCCCTTCTCCACCCCGTAATCCTGTTCTTTTCCCTTATCCCATCTCCACATTGCTGCTATTTGATTCTGCCGCGGCTCTTTCGTCAAAGAACCCCCACATATTGTCCCCGCTTTTTCTTTCCTTGACAACGTTGAGCGATCTGGAGGATGGCTTACTTGCTGACTTTCTTCCACATGCAGCCTGTACACATGCCTTGACTTCGGTTCATGACTTTGTGCTCTCGTTGTGTTTCCGGGCAGGGGTGGCCGAGTCGTAGCTTCTCGGCTTCTTCGCATATGCGTAGTATGGGGCCGTTGTTGGGTTGGGGTTGGGGTATCCAGTGGTTGCACACGTGTATGGTGTAGACGATGTAGCACATGGTCGGGAGGCGTTGGATGGGGTTGTATCGAGCGTAGACGAGTCGTGGAATGGGCTTATTGGAAACCGGAACGAGACGAGTCGATGTGATATATTCGTTTCGGAGGTTGATCGCGCTAGGGCTCTAGGGTAGGTAGATGCGAAGCTCGGGATTTTATTGTGATACGCTTTGGATCTGCGATGAGATCTTCTTGTATACTCTTCTGCTCTAATCGTGAACAATCTCGACACCACTTCTTAACAATCTTGCCGCAACATCCCAACTGACGGGGTTCAGTCAGATCCAGTATTGCCAGTTGCCTCCACCTACGGCCTTTGTAGCCTCACCAAGAGCAACTCTGAGCCTGGATAATGCTACCCGATTTTGATGATGCAATCCTCAAGGCTGAGCTAGCGTAACGGCTTCGACGAAGGCACTTGGCAAAGAAGAGGGAGAAGAAGAAAATGCGCGGGTGGTAGGAGAGACGCAGCACTCAGGGACAGGTGCGGCGACGAGAAGGGAGGAGAGGAGGGAAGAAAAAGAAGAGCAGGAACAAGTGGCTAAAGCCACCCCTTGACATGAATCCGACGTGGACACCATCTTTTTGACATGCCGTTTGAATCGAGACGAGGAAAAAAGCAAAGGCGCTCGAACGCAGCTCGACGTTGCACAGGCCGCTCCCTAACCCCCATCTTGCATTTCCCACCCTTACCGCGCGGCGTTACATATCCCTTCTCTTACACAGCGGTTTTACGAGAAAGGCTTTGCTTCGATGACGGCATACGTCGAAGAAGGGAGGGCCACAGTGCATGTCCGTGCGGCTGAAGGACGCGGGCGTGACCGATGTCCCGGTGTATTGGTTCGCGCGTGTTTGTGGATGCCTAAAACTACACCAACTATGCGGTTCACTGTTGCTTTTTCCTGTTCACCATTACCGATATGCCATCTTCTGAATGCTTTGTTGCTTGCTGGACTGGTGTGCGATGGGTAATTGCGAGTGGGATGCTGCGTGGGAGATAACGAGGCGACCGACGGGCTGTCACGATGTGGTTCGCGCTAGCCGCTTGAAGCGAGGACGGCAAATCAACATAGCTGTTGGTACTACCTTCCTTCCTCTCTTTTGCCGTCCCCACGAGTCGATGCTGCTCTCTTTACGCCCACACCGCTGGATTGCGGCCCGTAACGCACTACAGTTTGGCGCCTGTTGTGATGATCCAATGTCCAAACCGTGTTGCGGATTCAAGGAGCGCCCCATCACACGGCTGAACCTAGATGGCGGGTCGCAGATGCGCCTTCGAGAAGGTGCGGCACGGAGAAGGATGGTCGAAAGTTTGATTGAGCAGATTGTATTACTCCACCTCGACGCCTCAACCTTTACAAATTCGTTGTAGAGCTATACTGATGCTACGTTATAGCTGTCGTGCACACTGTGGCTTGAGGTGAGGTGAGGTGTCAGACCTGACCACGCTCACATCCCTTGGACAATGCGCATCCTTACCGGTACTCAAACTTCCTCGGCGACCGTCCTCCGCGATTACCGCGATAGCAGTGCGGCGTAACCAAGGTCACTCTGTCCACGTGTGAGGAAAAGACTTGTTGACAGCTACTCACACCAGAGTGGCTCGCGTCTGAATGCCGGTGTGTCTGAAATTGACTGCATCGAACGATCCTAATCAGTGACGAGTCAGCGAATACACCGACGTTGGACCTAAACTTCGGGCGCGAAGGACTTACATGCTCGCACCCAATGCATGCCTTCCTCTTTTGCTCTCTTGTACGTCTATCACACCGTTATGTGCTACCACGTCCCCGGAAAACGAGCAACATGTTCTACCCTAAACTCTATCAACGATACCAAAACACACGTTCAAATGGCCAAGGCGACCAATTCGTTTCCCAAGAAAAAAGCGATGTCTGCACCGGGAATTGCCCTCCCTCAACGGCATCTCCGACAAAACCCATAGCCCTCCATTGGCTCGCTCAAAGCCGACTGGTAGTGCATGATACGCCCAAACGCATCATCACACGTTTCTCATCGGTAAGGGGACGAAAGCACGTCGCCAATCGAGGTGACGCGCCCGATACTGTACGTATGCTATCGTGCATATGGTGGGGTTGTCCTTGAAAAGGTGGACCCGACAGTCTGGGTGCGTTGCAAGCAAGGGCTTCTCGAAAAGGGCAATGCTTCCTGCGATAGACGCATACCTCCGGTCATCCGAGGAGAGGAAAATCGAGGTCTATATGTAACACGATGATCATGCGACGCTGCTAGTTGATCCGTTGTCTGCTGAGAGCTCCCTCACACAGCACCCATGTTTGCTCCATGAGATACTTGAACTGCATCGGTGCCAGATAGAGCAGAATGCAGTTAGTTTGAAGAACCGTAAGTAGTAGAGGGGCAGATGCGAGTGCTACTTGGCTCTGCTTCTCTACGTATTGCTAACACATGATATTTACACGATTTTCCAACTCCTTTTCTCATACTACCGCCAGCAGTATCTTTTTAAATCCATTACCACCTCCACAACACCAACATGACGACTCACAGAAGAGGCTGTTGGATGACTAGTTTTCCAAAACCTCTTCCAAATCCACCGACTTTGACAACCTGCTGCAACGCGTCTTCGGCAGTGCCTTGGAAAACTTCTACATTTGGGAGCTCGAAGCGGTCGCCGTAGTTCTCCACGGCCCATTGCAATGCTTTCCAGGCATGCCAATGGTCTTCCGGCCTGGCAGGAGTCTCGATTATATGCGGAACCCCAGGTGGCTGGATGCGCCAGCTGTCTTTCGTGTACGCAACTGGCATGCCGAACCCGCCATCGAATTTGGTTACAGAAGCCAAAGTAGCCGAAGGATTGTTCACGCTTCGCACGACCAGATCTGCTGAAGACGAAGTACCGACCGCGTCCAGGGCATGAGAGATTGGGCCCTCACCAAGAGCCTCCACCGCAGCGGCAATATCAGACACAACAGTCGAGGAAGCGTAATCGAAAACAAGCGTTGCTCCGATCTTCTTCAGTAGCTCATGCCGGGCTGGCGAAGCAGTCACCAAGATATTCTTGCACCCACTGGCACGCAGGAACTGGACGGCGCTGAAGCCGACGCTAGAAGAAGCACCCCAAACCAGGACTGGTTGTGCGCATACTACTGGACTGGTGGGCAAAGGGAACTGGAACAGATTGAAGACCGCGTCTGCAGCCGTCATTGTAACGACTGTCAGCGCTGCGGCGTGGCTCTCCGGAAGATTGGACGGCACTTCGAATACCATGTCTTCTGGGCACGCGAGACGGCGTTGGTGTACGCCGTACTTGAGAGGTCGGCCAATGCCAGAGGGTGTATAGCCAGCCACGGTGGTTCCGTTCTTGAAGCGCGATCCGGTAGGTGTCGATGCAACAGTGCCACAGAAGTCGTAGCCACTGACTGTCGAACGGATGCCAAGCTGTGAGTGTTTGGCGTCTGCCGGGTTGACACCTGAGTATTTCACTTCCACCACTATCTCGTTGGCCGCGATTTCTTCGTGTTTGATATCGTTTCGAATATGGATTTGTCCATCCTCGTCGACGTACAGCGCCTTGCTGGATGTTATAGTCATGGTTTGTGTTGGTGGGTTGGTAACTCCTATTCGCGGGTTGGAGCAGCGAGGGTAAGGTTGGAATTGAGATGAACGGACTGATCCAGTAAAATAAACATGGAAAATGCTCGTCTTGTACTCACGGTTCTAGTCACCGCGGTCGGTACCCGCGCATGCCGCGCATTACTGCGCGCCACGGCACGTACGTAGGCGATGCAGGTACTGACCCAGGAGGTTGCCGGGAGCTAGCAATTGTATCTCTCCGACCCTGTTAGTGTCGACGTGTTGAACATCAAACATGGTTGGGGATTACGTGCCAAGTCTTTCGGCCGAGCATGCCCAGTGTTGTTGTACGATAATCGAACAACGGAGCCGGACAAACATACATGCCGATAGTATATCATCATCCTCCTCTTAGCCCTCCACCATCTATGTCCCTAACCTCAAGCCTACCACACCTTAACGTCGGGTGTTCCCAACGGTAGATGCGGTAATGCAAACCGGAATGTGGAGTTGATAAATATGCTTCGAAAAGCGGGCATAAATAGTGCCTTTGCGCAGGATGTTGCACTGTTGGTATACGATCGAATCAATTCCTTCTCAAAAACTTCTATCGCCTCTTGATCTCTTTACATCGTCTCTTCGCTACCATGACTTCAATCAAAATCAGCTCAGTCGACGTCAAATTTCTCGACTCTGTCAATCAGAACATCCCTCCACTGAACCAAAGGACGACCGAACTTCCACCGGGTCACAGAAAGCAACCAACATTCCGCCCGTTTACAACAACGACCATCTTCGACCAAGACCAAGCCCTTACGCTTAGAGATGGAACGGTGATCTATGCCGACGTATTCCGTCCCAAAACTGACGAGAAGGTTCCTGCAATCGTCATGTGGGGCCCATATAGCAAGACTGGAACGGGAATGCTAAACATTCATGGCATGCCACTGCGAGCCGGTATACCAGAGCCCCAGCTATCAGGCTACGAAGGCTTCGAAGGGTAAGCCTAGAACCAAGATAGCATGAAAGCAGAGGGCGAATTCCCCACTAACCACAACTCCAGTCTCGATCCTGCAGAATGGGTACCGCGTGGCTACGCCATCGTCATGATAGACCCAAGAGGCGTGAACAACTCCGGGGGCAACATCCACTTCTGGGGCAGCACCGAAGGCCGCGACGGCCACGACGCCATCGAAGAGCTCGCCAAGCTCCCTTGGTGCTCTGGCAAACTAGGCTTATCAGGCAACTCCTGGCTCGCAATATCCCAGTGGTTTATCGCGGCTGAGCAGCCACCACATTTGGTATGTATTGCGCCTTTGGAGGGCTTATCGGATCCTCTGCGCGAGCAGTCGCTACGTGGAGGTATTCCGAACACGGGGTTCAACGAATGGGTTGCTACTATGTTGGCGGGGAAGAACATGGTGGAGGACTATGCTGCAATGGCCCATATGAATCCTGTGCCTAAGGGATATCTCGACGATAAGCGTGTGGATATGGCGAGGATCAAGGTGCCTGTTTATATCGGGGCCAGCTATTCCTCGACTCTCCATACCATCGGCGCCCTACGAGCTTTCGAGGAGATGCAGCATCCAGATAAATGGTGCGTATTACCCCCATCTTGCTCTCGTCCACAAAATTTGCAATTATTGACAACTTCGTATCTAGGCTCGTCCTCCACGCAACTCAATAATGGTACGACCTCTACAGTCCAAGCCGCACCGCAGACCTCGCCCGGTTCTTCGACTTCCACCTCAAAGGCCTTTCCAACAACTGGCCGCAGACAGCACCCGTCCGCATGGCCTTTTTGAACTTCACCAAACCAGTTCTGTTAGACCAAGAATACACCGATCTACCATGGCACCTCCCCACTACGACGGTCCAGAAACTGCATCTCGGTCCCACCGGCACCCTCACCCCAACCGCACCCCTCTCAAAAACCACAATCGACTATCAAGCCGACTCCTCCTCCGAACTAACCTTCACATACACCTTCCCGAGCAAAACCATACTAACCGGTCCCTCCACCCTCGTCCTCTCCATCGCAACACAGGATCACAACGACCTAGACATCCACGCCCACATCTTCAAAGCCTCTGCATCGGGTACCATGCTTTCTCACCTAAACATTCCCATCCCGGACAACACACCCTCTGAAGTCGCGGAGAAAATGACGCAAAATAGGGTCTGGCGGTACCTCGGTCCCAGCGGCATGTTGCGCGCGTCTAAACGCCATGTGTCGGACGCGCTGCGGGGCAAGACGTGGGAAACGCTGTCGATGGAGCGCGAGGACAAAGTTGCGCCGGGGGAGGTGGTTAGGTTGCGTGTCCAGCTTTGGCCGACGGGTATGGTGTTTGAGGCTGGGGAGATGATGGTGCTGAAGGTTAGCGGGCGGGAAATGGGGTTGAGGGATCTTCCTGGGGCCATGGAGATGAGGAATGAGAATATAGGGAAGCATGTGATACATGTTGGTGGGGAGATGGAGGGGTATCTTGAGTTCTTCACGCTTTGATGGGAGGATGCTGTTGAACACGGAGTGGATACTATGAAGAGGGTCGTACATAAGGGTGACAGGCACCAGAAGAGTACATACAGTTGACAGAAATTGAAATCGAAGAAGCGTTGTTGATTGTTGTTGAACGAATTGCCACGTATGAGTCGCTGATGAAAGAAAGAATCAACATGGTCGAGCGGATGGCAGATTCTTATGGTAAGAAACTGCGTATGCTCGAGCGCCGAATTATGACACTTTGTGTCTTTGGAAGGAAGTTGCTGCCGCAGACAATTGAGAAGGCATGATTGCGCATAGAGGGAATAGAGAAGCAATGATCTTGAACAGCAGGAGTGGCATGTAAGAAGTACAGAAACAACAGTAACGTACGCAGGCACTAGTACCTTTCTCTTACAGGTGAACTACAAGGGATCTGCTGGATACCAAAGGATCTAAAGAATTTCGAAGATACGCGAATTGTCTAGCTCGTGTATTTCTATAATTTATTAGATCTTTTGGTATCTAACAGATCCCTTGTAGCCCACCTGTAAAAGGGAAGTGTACCTTCCCCACACTCTCAAAATCCGCTTAGAACAGCCACTTCTCGCCCATTCTCCACGAGACCAAGTAACAAGATTCCATCGCACAGCTCCACAAGATGCTTAACCTCCGATCCAACTCAAGCCATGTCCAAACCAAAACCTGCCAGTAGAACCCCGCCAAGTCACCGTATGATGTTTGGGATTGTACGATACTTGAAGGTTTGTATGGTCCAATCCCAAATATCATACAGTGGATTGGCGGGTTAACTTCATCCAAGTGGAAAAGAAGCTTTGTATAAGCCAAATATCGTGTCCTTCGGTACATCGACACGAAAGCTTGCAGAGGAGCGCGAGACATTACGGACGTCGGGTGATGGGTTATTACGGGCGGAGGAGGACGCTATTGTCGTGTTCGATTGTGGGCAGATGTCCGTCAGCACAAACATCTGTCCACAATCGAACACGACAATAGCGTCCTCCTCCGCCCGTAGTAGCGTATCTCCGCACAATGTAGCCTACGCCGTCACGTCACCATACAGCTCACCTGCAAGGCCGCGAAAAGATCAACGCCGTGCCGGTCATGTTGCACACCATCTCCCATCTCGACGACAGGCGACCCCAGGCAGCCCCACGCGACCACCCACTGGACCCTCAGCAATATATTCTAGCGGATACAAAATCTGCAGGGTCATTCGAATCGAGAGCGGTGGGCAGGGCGAACCGAGGCGAGACGGGAAATCGAAGGCGACGGCACGACGGGGAGGGTGTGGTAGGATCTACAAAGATCGACGTGGTGATGTGTTCCGCGGAGGGGATGACAAAGCGTGTGGGTAATAGCTGACATGGATTGTAATTCATGTTCGCTGTTTGATGGGAATTCTGAAGCTGCTGGTGCTTGTATGTGGGGTTGACGAAGTGATCGAGATGGGTGTCGAGTGTGTCGGCTCTTCGTTTCGAGGATGTGTGAACGTTTGGATCGGCGTTGCGTGAGACGGTGGAACGAAGTAGTGGCATGGCTTTTCGAAGGACAGATGCCAGCATCAGGCGGGGTGATGTCGGCCGCGTATTTCCCAATTTGCCAGTCGTGCGTTATTGCGACCGGAGAACCGATACCCTCATCAGCGCGCCTTCATACTCCCGTCACTTCATCTCCCAACCCTCACTTCTCGTGTATGCCAGCTGAACCACTCTTTCTGCCGTATTGAAGTACCCCATTCCCTTATCAAAGTTGTCTTCCCCATCTCTTCCAACCTCTCATTTCCCATTCTCCCGCGCCTCTTTCTCCCTCCTGCGCTCAGCAAATCCCGCCATCTTCCTCTCCATCTCGTTCTTCTTGAGCATTAACTCGGCGCGCGTAGTCTCGAGCTGTGCGATGCGTTCTTCGGGTGTGGCTTCGATCATGTATCGTGTTTTCTGTGAGGAGTGGGGTTAGTGGGTGAGGACAGGTGAATGGTTGTAGCGAGGGAATGCTCAGCGTGCGCATTGAGGGGAAGGGTTGTCGGGAGGAGGGCTGCAATATATGAATGAAGAGGGGACATACCTGTTTGACTTCTTGCTGTCCCTTCAATCCCGCACCGTAGATAGTACCCGTAATCGTAATCGAAGCGACGGCAGCAGTCATAATCCACCGACGAACCGTCTGAAGGGTCGCCATGTTTTCTATAATACCAGAAATAGAGTGGTTCAGTACGACGACGTGTCAATGGCGATACACAGTCATGTTGCGATGAACGAAAACGTTGCTCTTGGAGGGAAAAAGTGCGACGACCTTCGGTGGATATTCAATCAAACCGCCAAGGCCTTTTCGCCGCGGGAGTCCCACCAACAAAGCCGATGCCGTGCGACACGCCCTCCCCCACACGCACCCAAGACAACACAAACAAACACACTCCTTCTAAACCTCTCTACCCTACCTGACGTCGACCCGCCGCTCTCGCAAAAGAAAACGATCAGACAATCGCAATGTCAAACGTCCCCCGCTCCCACACCCCCGCCGGCGGTTCACGCCTCAGCACCGTGCCCTCGCAGAAGCCGCGCCAACTCTCGCACCTACAAGCGCAACTCGCGCAGTTGACGGCGAATATGTCGGATCTGGAAAGTTTGATGCGTATGACAGCCGGTCAGGCGCAGGACATGCGTGGTCTGGGTGGGTATGCTGGTGCTATGTGAGTTGTCCCACGGAACAGCAGGGTGGCTGGAAGGTGTTGGGTTGAGCTTGGATTTCGAAACAGGGTGGCATGCTAATGAGATGTGTGTAGGTTTATGGCTGCGAGTAAAGTTCTGGGTGAAGAGACGGTCAAGGGGGGAGGGGGTGATAAGGAAGGCAAGGAGGGCGATAAGTGAGGCGGAGGGCTGAGAGGAGAGAGATTATGCATCATCCCACCGGAGGTACCACGATACGCATCGACGATAACGCGCCGCGGAGTTGTATCTACAACGATAGACGAGACGGATATTGTGCAGGAGATAGGGAGGCCGGGTACCCCCATCTCTTCAGAGGGAACGCGGTATTCTTGCCATCCAACAAGAGATGGACTGGGTCAGATCACAGCAGCGTATCACAGCTGAAGTACCTATACTCGTTGGAAGAGAGGGTTCACTGCAAGAGAAACAAATATTGCTCATGTCCACGCGACGCGTCGCGGCGTGTCGTGATGCGCGGGTGTGCACCCGTAGTAGATATCCAGCAATGTACTCAGTTACGCGCTCTGTCGATATCCATACCCACACCCATCTCACCCTACCCTCTACATTCGTCATTCCAACATGTTATGCCCATCCGCCGTTCCAATCACTTTGCAGAATGGAACAAGACATTCGCCGACGGCGAGCCAGCCCCCTAGTCATTGTCCTACTATCAAAACCGCGCACAGATGTCTCACTCCCCCAGTTCCCCAACATCTCCAGATGATAACCTCCAAGCTACCGAACTTCCAGCCACGCAGCACCACATCTCCCATTCGCCGCGTTCCATTCCCAGTTCATCCAATGATACTAACGCTCGACCGCATACCCGCAACAGACATACATGCACGTCCGCGTACCTTGCATCAGATAAGGGTCCTTACCGAGAGATAGTACTATCACTATCTCTACTATCTCCTCGCTGCGCCTTCAAACGGCAACCCACAAGCCAATGAAGTCCGGGGAACTGTGGCTGGCCTTCCTATCGTGGACATGGTTTCAGAGTTTGTGAGGCTCAATGGCCCCTGTGAGCCTCGGAGGGGGGGTTGGCAGTGTCAATCATGGACCACTAAGCGTGGCGTTATCAATCGCGCAATGATAACGAGCGATGGTCTCACCGGCCTATCTATGCGTGCGTAAGGTTTTTCGCTGGGTCTGAGCGTGCGTGTGCTTGGGTTATAAGTACACGGGTGTCGTCTTTGGGTGTTGGATTCGATGGTGCTTACTCTTGCTGCTGGACTCGATTCCGCTCCGCCGTTCGACTGCCTCTTCCGGAATGCCAAGACAAGATACTTTGGATGGATGCGACTTTACCTACCTGGGACGGATAGATGATGGACGACAGTGGATGACGATGGAGATGGAAAGACGGTGAGGAGGTCCATGGTAGTCCCCGGGGTATCACGATCGGTTCGACCTCGTTGCGAGACAGCCTCACGATTTCACCACAGCATGAAGCTATTCGCACATTTCACGCCGCCCGCCGAGCCACGCAACGCAATACCCCCGCTACCCATGCCCGCCGAGCAGCGCCCAAGACGGCGAGTAGCGCCGTCAGACGTCATTGTATTTTCGCAACATCGGCAAAGCGTTGATCGCTACAATACGCTCGAGTGACATCGAGTCGCAGCGCCCGACCAAGGCTGGTCTGGCCTGATCAACCGGAACAAGGACTAGAAACGGAACAAGAGCACGCGAGCCTCCACGTCAGCGCCCCGGCAGCAAGCACACGAGCAGGACCCTTTCCCGTCCGCCCTCGTCTTAACCCACGATCGGCCCCCAGTACGATGGCCAACCGTTGCGAGCCCAACTGTGGAGATCGCCCGTCCGTCCAAGCGACCGACCGAAGTGTGGTCGATGGGGAGAAGACGGACAGGCGAGGGGGCCATCGTCATCGTCGAAAGGGAAATTTCCCCCGAATCATTTTGCCAATATACAACGTCTAAATGAATCACGTACACGGACCCCCACGGGCATCCCGCGTTTTCGTATCAGGAGCGCATGCGACCTTGCCCACTCAGCAGACAGCCAATGTTTCAACTCGACCAACAGAGACGTGCATCCGTCTTGTTAAGACGAGGGGGGGCTGTGTAATACCATTTCTTCATCGGGTCGGGCGGTTGGGTAGTTCCGCGTCAGTTGTGGGTTTTGGTATACAACTTGCCAGCACGCCATACAGCCGTCCGGACATTGCGTGCTCGCAACGGATATTTCCGCGGTAGCCCTGGAGAAGCACAAAGGAAATGAAGTAGAGCGGGATCGGATGGTCGCTTCGCTTGGTCGGGCCAGAAGAAAAATCAGGATTACAGCCAGTGCAAGACCGCAGAAAGCAGAATAGCATGGTAAAATTGCAAGTGTGTTGAACGACATCTGCGTCTGTAGCGTGCCCAAGTCGGCAATGCGGCGACAAGCGAGGTTAGAGCGGATTCTGTCGGGTTTAGCAAAGCGTCTAGGCTCCACATCCTGGCTGATTGCATGCATGCAAGTCAGATGCAAGTGGATTGGGAGGCTTGCATGAGACAGGGGATACAGCAGCGAGGCCGCTTACTCTCTGGGGCAATGAGCGTGGGGTCGCTGCGTGCGATCAATATCTGGCATACCCTGCCTATGCATGGTTTTGTCATTGATGAGTAACTGCTAGCGGGCGGGTTGTTCCTGTAGGATTCACGTAGGAGTGAGATGCAGGATTAGTTGTTTACGCTGTTGCGCGTCCTATGTGTATTCGTACCTTTTTCTGTTTCCGAGCCTCTGACATGTGAAACTCCACCACGGCGGTCGGACAACAGGGGTCCGGCGATTGTATCCAGGTTAGCGGACGCGCAACATCAAACATTGGGTGTTCGCGGCTGGTGCTAGATGAAATCGACGGCCGAAGTAATGCCACTGCAGATGTCGGAGGGAGTCGAGTGGAAAGATCAACATCGCCCTGGACCCTTTACTTTGGTGGGTAACCCGGTGGGTACGCAGTTCGACCTGGAAAAGCAATATGCTGCATGAAACGAGTCCACCAATAGCCAGCTCCCTGTAAGCTGATATTAGGGACAGCTCGCGGCTAAAATTGTCGTCCGGTTGGGAAAGGAGGGGACCGAGAGCGAGAGAGCGAAAGCAACGGCGTCCGATCCACAGGTACCGCTCAGCGTGTCTCGAGATCGTTGGGAATGTAACGTGGTCCGTTGTCAGTCGGATAGTGTATTGAAGGAGCCGTCGAGTCTTCCCTGCCCGATGCGGCCCTAACATAAAGTCGAGATCTTGAACTGCAATAGGTGCATAGTTCTAGAAGGAGAGGTACGTCCGCCACTGCGACAGCGACTACAGGAACTACAGGACAAGCTGCATGTTCTCGACTTTACAGTTCAGTTGTCTCCACCGTCCGCGTCACCGTTGGATCTTGCATTGTCCTGGTAATGTATCTCCCACCCGTCCGGATCTTGACTGCGGAACCGCAGGTCAGTCAGGCCCCCCAGGCAAGAGATTGAAAGTATATAGTTGTGAAGAAGCAGAGTTTGGTTGTGCCAATGCCCTGTGAGGGAGCAGCAGCCGCGGCCCAATGGCGTCAGCTGCAGTGTTACGGTTGTTGAGTGCGCCACAAACCAGCAATGGCGTGTGTGTTCTGGCACCGGCAGGCGTTGTCGGATGAGCGACTCAAAGCGCAGTTCACTGGCAACCACGTGCTCCGCGCTATGTGCGGTGGATCGTTGTGTGGGCCTGGTAAACAAAGACCCTGAGATTTGTGAGGCTATCGGGAAATCTAGGAAAGGAAGTGCCGAGATGCAGTCGCGTTCGGCACCATTCGGATGACATGCTCCACCGTCGGGTAAACGATGGGAGTGCTATGGATCTATACACGCGGTGAAAGCCCTCTTGTTCGGCGCTGGTCACAAGACACAATACTGCTATTGCATGCAGTCGGCTGACAAGCTCGCGGTGACGGTGAGGCAGGCGAGGCAAGGCATACTTGCCCTGGGTCGAGCAGTGCAGCCTCCATCGAGACTACAGCGTAGCGCAGCGTAGACGTCGACAGGAGCGGGTAGGCAATGCACAGGAGCCAATCGAGGCGGGCTGCAGATGTCTCTTCGCGTAAGCTTTTGCCGGCTGGTGTTGGTGGGCCGTAGTCGTGCAGTAGAACATGTCAAGAGGGAACATTGGCGAGGCCTGAAGGAAGTGACGTCCCGGGATCAGCGCAGTGCAGATGGCATCGTGAATCGTGGTTTCTCTAATTGTTCTCGAAACGAGACACCGAGGGCCTAGGGTTCTTCTGGTAGGGCTCTGGTGTTGACTGGCGTCGCTGGTCTGCACGACAGCAGCAGCACGCCGACAAACTGGCCGCTCGTAATTCTGAGCTCCGAGACTCTGTCCGGGGTTCCCAAGAATCCTCGCAGCACGGTTCAGGCGGTCTCGATAGGAGCAAGGGCGTGCATGCTAAGCGGCAGGCAAGCATTCTCCCGTTCAGCCCACACACACCTCGCGGGCCATGAGCTCAACCGCCGTGGGTCATCGCACATCTGAGGTTGCAGTGGCTGCGGGCCCGGAGGCTTCACGCCGCAAACGCGTCAGGTCTGGGTGTCGTGTGCGCGCAGCATTGCTTTTCTGAGTCGCGCACTTGACGACAGTGTGGAGAGGGCGTGCCGCGCTGCGAGGGTAGGGAACGCCCCAAACAGGACCCTCCCTAGCAGCTAGGGTGCAGGCTGCACGTGTGATTGGCGTCCGAGAGTGAAGAGAGTGAATGGTGGGGGCAGCGTAGTCTGAGCGTGGGTGCCGAACGCTCCACACAGGCATCTCATTCTGCTCACCAAGGCCCAGCGTCACGACTCACGACCCACCCAGTGCCACCGGCTGCCCGTCGCACGCTGGAGCCCGCATCGCTGCAATTCAATTATTGCGCCGCTCACTGGTCCCGGGAGCGCGAACATTTCGAGCCTTGTTCCCCGTGGAGGACAGCAGCCACAGTCCAATATCTACTCGTGACAGGCCGTTGTCGCTGTGCGAGGCCAGCACTCAGCACGCATCAAGCAACAGACAATCCCGCTCTTACGCTGGGCCTCTCGAACCTAGTATTATTTCTCGCAGCCTACCTTCCAGTGCCAGTGCAGGGCCTACTTCGGCTTGGTTGCAGCTGAGGTCCGCAGCTAACGTGGGGTGCGCCCATCCGATTCAGAGCACGCGCCGACGCAGCTACATCATCGCTTTCCCGTGAGAGGCACACTCGCAATATCCGCCGCCCACCAAAGAGGGCACCACCCCGTCTGAAAACCCATGGACTTTGCCAGACCAGAGGGCCAAATGGAGGTACAGTCGGCCCATGACACGAGCTCCAAGAGGGGCATGCTCCAGGATGCCATCTTCCCAGCGTTCGGCAACGATGCGGGCGCCCCCAGCGTGGAATCGCCAGAGCAGCTGCAGAAGAACGATCCGCTGGGCACGCAAATCTGGAAGCTGTACTCGCGGGCAAAGACGCAGCTCCCCAATGCTGAGCGCATGGAGAACCTGACCTGGCGGATGATGGCCATGAACATGCGCCGCGCCGAGATGGATCGCAATAAAGGGTACGCATATGCCGCACTTGCTTTTGCGTCGCTACCACTTGACTCCCCAATACCAGCTGGCTAACTGTGATTCCTCGCGCGCAGGCCCGCTCCCGATGCGCACCACGCTGAAATGATGCCGCCGCCGCCCTCAACAGCAGGCGCAAGACCGCCGCCAAGATCCGCTCCCAGCGGCATCGCCCAGCAGCTGCGCAAGTCGCAGGACCAGCAAGCGCAGGTACAGCAGAACTCGCCTCACGACGCCATGAACCTGGACGATTTTATATTTCCGTCGTCCGTCGGCAGTCCTGCAGGCCTGTCGCCCGAATTGTCGAATGAGGATGCGGCTCCATTTAATGCAACAGCCCCAGCGATACCGATAAGAAAGCCGCATCTAGCCAACGACCACAACCTCTCCCTCGCCCGCGCCTCCGCGCCCTCGGTGCCTCCTACTATCCACAGAGAGGATGAATTTGGCTACGTTCCGCGACACGTCCGCAAGACCAGCATCGACGAGCGACGAGTGAGTTCCTTATCTCGATCCCTACCATTTCCTCACTAACCTCTTATCAGCCTCCCAAGCGGCGCGCTGAAGCCTCTCCTCTGGTCCCTCCCGTCAACAGTATCATGATACCCACCGACGCCCAGGCCGAGCACGACCTGCACCAGTACTCGCTCGACCACTCCATGCAGCCCCCCACCTTCCCAGCCTCACAGGCCCAGGCCCCCTTCAGCATAGACACCTTCTCCATGCACGACGACCCCGTCATACACTCCGCCGGCCCTTACCAGCAGAACTTCTCGGGCTTCTCCCCTGTCGGTTCGCCCCTCATGAGCCACAACGCCTTCAACTCCAACATGTTCAACCAGCAGTCCATGGCCTCCTCCCTCAACTCCACCGACTACTACTCCCCACCCAGCTCCGCCTTCCCCTCCACCGTCTCCACCCCACAGCCCATCCCCGAGGACAACCAGATGTACTTTGACCGGAGTGGCATGGACATCCGCAACTCGCACGGCGGGGCCTCGTATGGACCCCACCGCCCCTCCAACCTGTCGACCTCCATGCAGCCGCAGTTCATCTTCAATCCTGGAGCCGGCGGTCCCGACTCTGTCTTCAGTCCAGTCACGAGCACTAGTGGCTCGCTACCATTCTCCTCGGCGTCGTCGTTTGGTCAGTCGAGTCACGTAGATCCGTCTCAAGTACTCCACAACCATCTGCCGCTACGACAGCAGCACGAGATGCAGATGGGACGTCAGGAGAACATGTTCACCTTCGGCGCAGATTCTGACGCCGAGGACGACGAAGGAAGCGCGTTCGCAGACCGTACCATGCCACAAGACTACTCGCAGATGGAGGACGGGTCACTTGACTTCAATGCTGGCTACCAGTGGGAGACAAATCTCTCGAATCAATTCAACCCGATGCAAGCGCGGTACCCGGCAGGACCCCCACGCAAAACGGTCACAATTGGCGGCACCGAAATGGTGCACTCACCGCAAGATCACTGGAGTCCTGGGGGCAGTCTTGGGCGGACGCATGGCTCGGCTGCCTCTGTAAGCGACATACGCAATCGAGGGAGCGATCCACGACGCCAGAAAATACCCCGCACTAGCTCAACACCTAACGCTGCTGGAATGCTGCACCAGGGCATGCATGGTCTAGTCTCGTCACCCAATTCACCGCCAGAATCTGGCTTTAATTCTGCAGCCCCATCACGGCCTCAAAGTCCTGGTGGTTCGAAGCAGGGTGACGGCGGTGCCCCCACAACCTGCACCAACTGTTTTACCCAGACGACGCCTTTGTGGAGACGCAACCCGGAGGGACATCCACTTTGCAATGCATGTGGCTTGTTCTTAAAGCTGCACGGAGTTGTTCGGCCCTTGTCGCTCAAGACCGATGTAATCAAGAAGCGCAACCGCGGGAGCGGCAACGCACCTGTAGGCACGACATCTACGCGATCGTCAAAGAAGTCGTCGCGAAAGAACTCAATCGCGCACACCCCGGTGACGACTCCCACGTCCCACAAGGCGGCCGAGTCTGAGTCTCCAAAATCTACTGGCTCTGGTGGAGGCGCCTCCGGTACTATGTCTTCATCTACCACACCGACATCCTCAAAACCGAGCGGTGTGGTTCCAATCGCGCCTGGCCCGCCTAAGTCCAACAGCTCCGTAAACTTGGCACAGACTCGCACTGTCGCTCCTGCGCCGAAGCGTGTTCGCGGCTCGAGCAAAGTGGAATCACAGGAGCTCGAAATGGGCGATGCGGACGATACGAGTGGGAGAGCGCCATTGCGCAGAAAAGACACTGCCATCGCTAGTCCCAGTCCTTTCCCAGGTCAGAATCTGGGCGCACTTCCGATGGGTGCCATGGGCCAAGGCCTGCAATCATCTGGTCCTGCTGAATGGGTAAGTAACTTCTGCTCAAAGATCAAACGAAAAATACTAACGAATGAACTACAGGAATGGTTGACTATGAGCTTGTGATCTCAGCAAATTCTCGCGCATCCCTCACTATCCACCACCAGTTCCAAACACCGATCTGGAGGAGCGCTTTGGGGCATATTACGAACCTATGTCTGCGTTTGCTTTCACACGATGTACCCGGTGTTTCGGAGTTCCGCGAGCATGGTCATGCTAGGGGCCTATTTTGCTTGTTCACTCACACGTCTTTACCTCGCCTTTGATACCTCCAAACTTTCCGCGATGCGATTTACACCCTTGCAACGATAGACGCGGTCTGGCTGCTTTTCTTCCCGGTTTTTTTGTGACATACCCTGTTTGCTTTTGTTTTTTCCAACTGGCTAGCCAGCAAGATGGAGGAGGCAGGCGCTCCATCAAGTTGCAACAACCGCTCTAATATCTTGACGAAGACGGAGGACCGCTCATCTCTTATAAGACGTTCTGTCTTATAAGAACGAGGTGGTTCGTGTCACATTGCATGAGCTTATGAGAGAAAGAGAGATAGGAAGAGAGATATCCCGGGGGGCTCCACCCGAATGCATAGAAGAAAGGTGGTGATGTTTACGCATCTTCTGCACATTTTGGTGTCTTTGAACGATGCTGCTGAGTTCGACTCGAGTCTTGTTTGAGCGTCTTGCTTTTCTACCTTACACACGGGCTGGAGAATCTAGGTGGAACCCTATGAGCAAAGCACACAAGACGAGAGGCGGAAGGTGTGTACATAGGAGACGGGAGAACCTTACACGATGTCCTGTGCGGCTTTTTTTGTGATATCCTTGACGACCGATTGCTTTGGGCGTACCGTAACGTGGAGGAGAGGCTGCGAATGCTATATCTTTGACGACCTTTTTACTGGCGCTGGCTATGATCTTGTGACTTGTGAGATGAACTTGCCGCATATGTATCATCACTCTTGAAAAAAGTTTGCCTCATATGCCATTGCGAGACATGATTATAGGGAACGTTCGGAACGTGTTTCCGAGCCCCTCCCCGATGCTCATCATACGTCATACTTAGCTAAGGCGCGGAGCCACCTAGGTACCATGCTTACAGTAACGATCCTTTCCATCGACAACTACGCTCTGTTCTTATAACTCCACACAAAACTACTCGCATCACGTGAAAATAAGCTAGTTCTCTAAAACACAATCCACGATGCCGAAAGCCCTGATCTTGGTCGCCGATGGGTCCGAGGAGATTGAATTCGTGACTCCCTACGATGGTACGTTGAATACGTTCTGTTTCTTCACGCCCACGAGCTGTAGAAAGGCACGTGCGAGCCTAGAATAGTCGTCCCCATATGAGAGACCCCACGAAGAGTGCATGAAAGAGGATATTGTTGCGGATGCTTGAGAGCAATAGCTGCCTACTTGGTTCAGAATGACTAGTAGCTAAACGCCACTTTATATGACCGGCTGGTTGTGGAAAAAGAGGCATACTTGAGTTGTTACTAACATGCCATCCATCCTAGTACTTACCCGCGCGGGCTTCGAAGTCACATCCGCTGGTGTAGAGCTTAAGAACGAAGACTATGCACAGTAAGGATCCCCAGATCCTGTTCCCCGTCCCCATCCCCGTATTATCCTACCTTAACCCCCCTCAAATCTCCGGTGGTCAAAGCAACTCATTCCGCCTTTTAGCATGTCACGCAACATACGCATCGTACCCGACTACCCAAACCTGCGATTCGTACCTTTCGATACAGCGGATGAAGACTACGACATTCTAATCCTGCCCGGCGGTGCACCAGGCGCAAAGACGTTTTGCTCTACCCCTGCAGTTCTTTCACTGATATGCAAGTTCCGGAGAGAAGGGAGATGGGTGGCTGCTATCTGCGCTGCTACAACGGCGCTTGTTGCTGCGGAGAGTACTACGGGCCAGGGCAAGAAGAGAGTCACGAGTCATCCTAGTGTGAGGAAAGAAGTTGAGCAGGCGGGGTGGGAGTATAGTGAGGAGAGGGTTGTGGTTGATCACGGGATTATCACGAGTCGGGGGCCGGGGACTGCGATGCTTTTTGCGCTTACGATTGTGGAGGTGATGTGTGGGAAGGATAAGAGGGCGGAGGTGGAGGGGCCGATGGTTTGTGCTAAGACTCTGTAAAGGGTCAAAGGAATGATTTTGAAGGAAAGGAGGTATACTTACTCGTTCTGGGTATGACATCGAGTGGCGATGAGATGTTATACGAGTAAAGAGTACAAGGCAAGAACTGGAGCCGTTACTACCTGTTGCTATACATGTCTTTCTTGCTTGCACCACGTTCTGAGCGTAGAAAGATCACACCAAGAGCTCTAATTCTCACCACGATACTCGCTTAGCCTTTGTAGCTGTCGATCTTTTGTCTCACTAACAAGAGTCTGTACGCCGCATATGTTGGAAAAGGTTAGTAGTTCACATCTCGCATGGGGGTGCTACCCGTTGGCATCATTCGTGCTTCGTCCTCGCACCTTGCAACGTACTGAACTGCATCTCCAGTCTCTTCGGAACGACATAATATGTCTGGGTTTCGTATGACCAGAGTAGCACGTTTCGTTTTACTCCGCTAATCTATATCTTTCGCATCAGCTATTCTTCTCGTGATCTCCATCTCTATTCGCAAGCCTTCTTCTATGCCCATGTGCTCTTCTCTCTGAATTCGATTGTCGGGTGAGGGGGTCCCAATGACTTCGAATAAAGTCGTCGTGAATAGATCTACATCTGTTTATACACTTTACAGTCCTTCTCGTTCTTCACTTAAGAAACTTCTTTTGCTACCTCTTGGTTTCATTCGGTCGCTATGATGATTCAATCATAACACTAGGAAACAATCAACTCGCGTAGAATGGAATATCAGGACTGCCAACTACACTGTCATGATATGATCATTTTGAAACCGGAAGATACTGTAAATTCGCAGCTCCATACGCCGTTTCACCATCATGTACACGTAAGTCGTGAGACTCTTGGCACATGAAGTTTGGTGCTGCGCGAATAATTCTGGTGATGCCCAAGCAACATCAAAGCCATCGCAATCATGCCGTATACCAGAATGCAATCTCAAACCAGCCCGAGCCAAGACCACCTGGGCAGGCTCTAGTTTGAGGTTAAGGCGCACTCTATCGTTAATAATGCCAAGAGCGCCACTAGTTATTACTACACCAGATTTTATGGCTTTCAAGATGCTTGCCGTACTAATCATGAATAAATGGCTGACCAAGAGCAGGTTATTCTTGCGCAGATGCGAGGATCACGTGAGTACACCGGTGTGCTAGCACCGGGCGATCTACAACCCGAATTGATGACGGCGAAGAGGCGGGGAAATCGGTCCGCCTAGGGCAACGGCTAACCTCAGCAACGAGGGCGAACGCGAAAGCGAAAGTTTGGAAGCACATTTGCATGGGAGGATGGTAGAGCACTTCTTCGCTCTGATTGGACGTCGGAATACGCGCGATACGGTGGGCTAAAGTTTGTCGAGACGAGAACTGTCCTACAATCGCCAAGTGCCACAGCGCTGTTGAACGTATGCCAGTGAGTATTTCCTTGTGGTATGTACTACGTAGTGAGTGTGGCTGGCCATGTGCTTGGGCTTGGGCTTGCTGCGCGACATATCGGCCTGTCTTAACGGCGCTTACTTCTTCGTTGCCTGGTTGGACGCGTGGACATGTCCATGTACTAGGGTAAGCGACGAGGCGTCTTTCGCATCGGTTATGTGGTTTGTCCATGGGTCCTCCATGATAAAGTGCTTACGATGCGTTTGTTGGAGGACCAAGAGCGAGGAAGGTGGTGCAGCGACATGTCGGAACATCGTGATCCGGTGTGGGCAGCCATTCCTCCTTGCTTGTGGAGTCCTTGCTGCAAGTTCTGACTGTCGCAAAGTTGGGTAGCTGCACAGGCAGTCGTATGTCGTATCCATCGACTTCATATTGGATGAATCAGCAAGGATTATAATGATGGAGAATGGCCAGCGAAGGATTCGAATTCGGGTACATTCCCGTGCTGGTGCAGCAGCCTCGCGTAGAGATCTGGCTCGGTTAGATGAACGGAAGACGGAAGAGGCGTCAGCCGCAGCAAGGGTCCAGCAGCTCCTTCTTGCACCTGCCTCTCTTTAACGACCTGGTTACACAAACATATCCATCGTGCACTGCCTGCACCGACACGAAGGACGATTGCTCTTTAATCGTCGGAATGGATGGCGCGTGCGGTCCGTTGCCAGGGTTCTGCTGATGCCCCTCACCGACCGTGCTCACCAACGCCCGCGCAGGGTAATGATCCTTCCGAGCCGCACATACGCGTCAGTCTAGGCTGCTTGGTGAAGCACTTCGGGCGTACTCCCCGTACTGTAAGGCCATCGATTGGATCGTCTCTCACCGTCAAAGATAAAGACCGATGGCGCTGAGGCATATTCGACAACCTCTACGAAGAACATATGAGGTACTCGCCAAGAATGTCCGATTTGTTCCTTTGGCCCAGTGGTCTGACGTCGAGTACGAATGGAGTGCTGAGGGCTGAACTCAATGTGTGACCCCGAGACACAAACGGTCAGGCTTGGCCTGGGGATCGTCGAGCGCTTTGCCCGTCAGACCCTAGCGGTCAGTAGACGGCTCCATCGCTAACAGCGCGACCGCCGGAACCAAGGATCCGCTCTGTGTATACACCGTATCAACCGTATAGAGCGAAGCGCACCAATGATCCTGGCTTTTCTAGACCAGGGGAAACATTCTCGGTATATGTAGAAGGACGACCACGTCGCGACTCCACCCGCCACTCACCGTCCACCTTTCCGACACCAACACGCAGCACCCGCAGGTGATATATCGAACCTAAGGGCAACCCTACTGCTCACCTCGAAGATGGCCGCCAAATTCGACAACATCAACACCTCCGCGGTGCCTCCTACACAGGAATCTACGATGATGGACAGCCAAACTATGGCGCAGTTGACGCACACGCTGCAGACTGTGGCTATCGCAACCCTCTTTTTCGCAGTCTGCGCATACGTCCCCAAGCTTAAACGAAAGGCCCAGCTGGGAAGCCTGCCGGTTCTCGGC